AGACATGGAGATAGGCGTTGGGCTGTGTTGAATGTGACGATGGGCATGGGTTTGGTTTGATTTTAAATGGGGGAAGATGTGGGGGTGGGTTAGGTTAGGTTAAGCTGGGTTGGGTTGTAGTTGTGTGGGGTAGAGTTGGCTTGGATTATGCTAAATAGGGTTGAGTCGAGTTGGTTTGGGGTTATATGTGATATGGTTGGATTGGGTTGGGTTGAGCTGGTTTCGGTGTGGTTGGGTAAAGTTTTGGTTGGGGTTGTGGGGGGGGATTAGGATGGGCTTGGGGACTCTGGGTCTAGGAGGCTCTCACTCAAGCTGAGGCAAACTTCCCTTCACAGGATCCTTCCAGGGAACCCTTGATCTATGTGTGGAGGAGGTCAGGCCACTGGCTGAACATATCCCTCTATCCAGTCCTTATGGTCTTAAATTGTGTTTATCTGAGTCCACTTCTGTCCCCCTCACTAGATTAGGAGTTTCTCTGGTTCCTCACCTAAGAAAGGAAGAAGATTTTATCAGGTTCTCAAGACACAGCTGGGACTGGATCCTTGTTAGCTGCTCTGGTTTTACTGAATAGCTGAAACAACCAACTTGTTAGAAACCTGGGCAATCTTATAGCGTTAATAGTGGAGGCTACAGGGCTCTCATTCCTGATTCACTTCTGAGACCTTGGAAGGTGATTTCTTAGTCTTGAGTTGCATGAACCTGGTTCCTGAGATCTAAATATTTTATTGGAGAGGGGACATTGGATTTTGAGTGAGGATGCCCTTGACTTGAGAGCGCAGGTCAACAGGCATCATTCCTGGGGCATCGAGTGCACAGATCCGGAGCATGAGGAGTGGGGATCATTGAAATCTCACATTGTTTGAAGGACGTTGGATTTTGAAATGCTAGAGAACTAGTTCTGGGAGGCTCCTGGGTTTTCATATTTATGGGTTAGGGGGTGGTAGGTATGTGGGTCTGTGGGACCATAAGATTTTATTTTGAGAGGAACCATAGACCTGGGGAAGTCGACTCTGGGTGCAGAAGTGCAAGACTCAGGGAGGTCAACTGCAAGGCTTCTGAGAGGTTGGGGTGCTGGCCTCAGCTCAGAGTGCTGCAGGAGTCAGGGAGACTTGCAGCCCCACGACGCTAGTATTTCAGGGTACACCGGGTCTTGGAGGGGCAAAGGACTTACTCGGGGTTTAGGCATTTGAGGCTCTGCATTGAGGGTCAGTGATTGTCCCACCCTTTTTCCTGTTCACCCCGGGCCTCTCCTCTCTGGCTTTTTCCCCTAGATCAAGGCTCCATGAGCCTCAGACCCTACCCCATCTGGCCTCATCCCCTGGGAATGCATCCAGGTGATCTAGCACCAGCAAAACAACAGGTACTGGCTCTCCCTCTCCTTCCACGGCTGTGGGGTTGGGAGGGGTTGTCCAGCCTCCGGCAGCAGGGGCAGAACCTCGGCCAGCATCTGGGTGCCAGCAGGGCAGGGGTGGGGGAGGGAGGGTTGAGAGCTTTTAAAGCTTCCTCAGGGAGGCTTCCCAGTTCCTAGCTCACCACCTGCGTGCCCCAGAACACCTCTGTCACCATGTGGTCCTGGTTCTGTGCTTCATTCTGTCCCTGGTGGGGACTGGTAAGACAGAGTGGTTGGGGGATGCACGAGGGGAAGGGGGCTTTGACTCTCATGCTGCCCTCATCCCCCATAAGTCTTTCCCCTCCCACCCAGCACCCCACATGCGTCCCTCCAGCTCACAGTGCGCCCCTGGCCAGGGTACCAGGCTCTTTCCTGCCTCTCCCACCCCCGCCCTAAAATCCTATCCCAGCCCCTCCTCCTTGTCACCTTCCCCACAATCTTGATTCCCACACTAGTCCCAGCTTCCTCCAAGCAACCCCCAGAACTTTCTACTCTTCTCCACCTAATGCTCTGCTCCCAGTCCCTTTACCAAAGGGGCAGATCCTGGACCCTGTCTGTGTCTCTCTATGGGGCTCAAAATCTTCTAGGATCTCCCTTAATGCCATTGGTTCCTTGGACCCTGATCACTGGTCTCACTCCTGAGCCCCTAAATCCCATCTCATCCTACTGATCTTCTCATCCCACTGTGAGCTCTCAACCGTCTCCCTAGACCTTGACTTCTGCCCCCAATCCTGTTCCTAAGAACCCAAATTCCATCAGATACTCTGCTTCTTCCCAGACAACCTGTCTGGCCTGAGACAACAAATGGGTCCCTCAAACTGGCATTGGGGTTCTGAAAATTTCTCCTCCTCCCTAACTCTTGGCCTCAGACCCTCCATTCGATGGGAGCCTTTTCCCAGAAAAAACATGCAGAACCCCCAACCACAACTGCCAGCTCCCCCAGAACCAATTCCCCAAATCTGCATCCTTTTCAGAACCTCAAAAGCCCAACCCAGGCCCTACACATTTCCTCAGCCTGGGGTCCCTAAGCCCTCCAATGCTTCCTCTCCCAGCAATGAATTCTCTCCTAAGGGGCTCTTACCCGTGGTTTGCAGAACCCCTTATCCTCATAGAACCCACACCTTCACCACAGCCTCCTGTCCCCCAACCCAAGGCCCCAAATCACCCAACCCCCACACTCGATGCTGCTCCAGACGCCATCTTGCTGTCCCCACCCTGGTCCCTGGGTTGGCTCTGCTCTCAGCATCAAATCTCCCCACCCAGGACCAGCCACCAACCCACAATCCCAGGGATGGTTCCAGAATTCCAGGTCTTTCCCAATACCCATTGCCCATGTCCTCCGACCCCCTAGCCTAGTCCTCTGCCCCTATATCCCTCCAGCGCCACAGCACACTACCCTCTGCTAGCGCAGTCCCCTAGCCTCTCCTGACAGTCTCTATCCTCACCCCTGACCCAGCACCCCTTTCACAGGTGTCACACCCCTCCAGTCCAAGATCGTAGGAGGCTGGAGGTGTGAGAAGCATTCCAAACCCTGCCATGCATTCTGTACCACCACAGCCAGCTATAGTGCAGGGGTGCCCTGGTGCACCTCCAGTGGGTGCTCACAGCCGCTTACTTCAAGAGTGAGTGAGTAGGGGCAGAGGGTCTGAGGTGGGGGGCGGCGTCTGTGCTCCTACAGGAATGGTCAGTCAGGGCCATTGCCCTGGGATCACCTCAGGGGAGGCTGGGGGCTGAGGGAGAGAAGGATGGGACTGGTCCAGGTCCCATGGAGAGAGGCAGGGCTGGGACTGGACAACCCCAGGCAAACTCTCCCATGGCTGCTTGGTCTCCCTCTGTGTCTCCCTGTGTAACTGTCTCTGTCTTCTTGTGTCTCCCTCTGTCCCATTTCTCTGTGTCCCCCAGTGTAACTGGCTCTGTTGTGTGTCTCCTTGTGTGACTATGATTTGTCTCTGTCTCCCTCTCTTCTGTCTCCATGTCTCCATGTCTCTCCCTGTCTCTGTCCATCTCTGGGTCTCTCAGCTGTCACTCCTGTCTCTGTAGGTCTCACCCTCCATCTCTCTGCCCCCTCTATGTCTCTGGTCTCTGCCTCACTCCCTCTCCCCCATCACCACTGAGCACAGTCACCCCCAGGATGGGACTGTGGGGGACCCCCAGAGAAAAGGAAGGGATCATCCTCAATGTGTGCGTATGGTGTGTGTGTCGGGGGGGGGGGGTCTTCTCAGGCTGCCCAGCCCCTCACTCCAGGACAACCGTCCATCCAGGGGGACACAGGGAAGGGCTGGTTTCAGCTGGCGCTGGTGGGGGCAGTGGAGGAAGGAGGAGGAGGAGGAGAAGGGAGAGAGGTGCTGGGTGGGAGGGGCCCGCCGGCCTTGGGGAACCGGCCCCACAGCCCCAGCTGCAGCTGAGCTGGTCTCAGGCCCCCTCCTCCCTCCTGCCCCACCCCCCGCCCTGCCTCCCTCTCCCCCTCACACTCTGTCTCCCCCTCGCCTCCTCTCCTCTGTTTCTCCTTCCCTCTTTTTACTTCCTCTGTCTCTGCTCATTTTGTCTCTTTCTGCTTCTCCCGCCTCTTCTGTCTTTTCTCTCCTGCTTCTTCCCTGTGAGGAGTTCTTGCCGTCTGTTCTCCTCCTCCTCCTGTCTCCTTCGTGCTCTCTCTAGCTCACTGTTCTCCCTGCCTTCCTCACTCCCTGTGTTTTTTAAGGTTTCTCTTTTTCACTGCATTTCTCTTTGTCTGTGGATCTGCCTTTCACGCTGTCACATTCTTTTTTTCCTCACTGTCTCTATTTCTCCATGACTCTAAATCTTTCCTTCTCTCTCTCTCTCTCTTTGTTTTTTTTTCATTATTTCTCTTTCTTGTTTTTGACCCTCCCCCAGGCTCCTCTGCCCCATCTCCCTTCCCCCCTCCTCTCTCCTCCTCATTCCCTCTGTTGGGAGGGAGACTCTCCCTCTACCCTTTCCCTTAAGGTTCTTATGGCTGGCCAAATAATTAACAAGACAGGTTAGCAAGAGAAAATAATACCAAGTTTAATAACATATATACATGGGAGAAAGCAGGGACACTGCGTTTCTCAACACAATAGCAGAAATTCTCGTCTTAAATACCATGTTCAGCCAATGACAAAGGAGGATGTTGGGGGTGGGGGGAGTCAGTTACAGATTACCACTAAAGCACAGTAAACAAGAGTAAGGTTATTATGCAGATTTAAGGCCTCACCTTCCACATTGATAAGTTTCTAGAAATGAGGTCGAGGTCATCCCCCCTCTTCCCAATACTGAGAGGAAGATATCTTTACAAATGGAGATTTCCCTTATAAATGTAAATGTCTGTCTGGCAACTCCTCGCAGGGCCATCCAGAGAATGTGGCCAGAGAGACAGAACTTCCGATAAGATGGGCTTGTTGGTGCCTTTCCTATTGTAACATCTATTTTACATTATCATTACAGCCATCATGATAGAAGATCTGTTCCAGGAGGGAGCCACCATGTCAAATTCTTTAGGCAGTTAGTGGGGGAGGTCAAATGTCCCTCAGAGAAAACCATCAAGGTAAAGAGATATATTTCAGGATGGCCAAATCTTGATCTCCCACACCTCCATGCCTCTCTCTCTCCCACAATTACCAGGTCTGGCTGGGTCGCCACAACCTGTTTGATGATGAAGACACAGTCCAGTTCCTCCAGGTCAGTGACAGCTTCCCACATCCAGGCTACGACCTGAGCCTCTTAAAGACTCACCCTCAGATCAGATGATGACAGCAGGCACGACCTCATGCTGCTCCACCTGGCTCGGTCCGCCCAGATAACAGACACTGTGAAGGTCCTGGCCCTGCCCACTGAGGAACCGTCCTGGGGAGCACCCGCTCTGCCTCTGGCTGGGGCAGCATCGAACCAGATAAGTGTATGTCGGGGGCCAGACCAGGCAGCCTGGAGCCCAGGCCCCTGGGTGTAAGGGAGGAGGGCTGGGACCTGCATTCCAGGATCTGAGGGAGGAGGGCTGAAGACATGTGGGTTTGGCCACAGCGCTTTATCTCCTGGGCCCATAGTCATGTATGCATATGATCTCCAGCGTGTGGACCTGTCCAGTGACCTGTGTGACACAGCCTACACTGAAAAAGTGACAGAGTCATGTTATGTGTTGGGCTCTTGAAGGGCAGCAAAGACACCTGTGTGGTAGGCCAGCCTTTCACCTGAAGGCCTTGAGGGGAAGGAAGGGAGGTGACCATGATTCTGGGCTGGAATACGAGAGCTAACCAGGCATCTGTCCCACTGCTTCCCAGCTGTAACCCCCGTCCCACCAGTGCCTCAGCTCTCTCCCTGGTGCCCCCTTCCCCTTCCCCTTCCCAAATTCCCATCCAGGCACCACCTGCATCTCACTCCCCCACATCACCCTTCACCCCTTCCTCCATGCAACATGTGTTCCTGAGCATCTGTGTGCCCAGCACTGTCCTAGCTCCTGGGAGGACAGCAGTGACCAGACAGAGAACAGTCCCCTCAGTGGAGCTCTCATTCTGGGGAGGAGAGACAGACAGAAACAGTGGACATGACACAGAAGTGAGGGTGCGTGTCAGGAGGTGATGGGGCTGTGGGGGCAGGAGGAGAGAGAGCAGAGCCAGGGAGGTATCGGCTGTGACCGGGGAGGAGACCTCCTGCAGAAGGTGAGCAGACACCTGCGGCAGGTGAGGGGGAACCGTGTGCAGCAGGGGAAGGGCAGAGGGAACAGCAAGTCAGAAGCCCCGAGGGATGTGGGCCTGGTGTGTGAAGACCCGCGAGATGAGTGTGGACCGAGCCCAGTGAGCAGGGGAGAGGGGGAGGTGACAGCAGAGGGAAGAGAGGGGCCTGTCCTGCGGGGCCTCCCCTGGGGCCACGGGGGTGGGGGGGACTTTGCTCTTCCTCTGAGTGACCCAGGAGCTGTGGGCGGTGCTGAGCAGGAGCAGGACAGGGTCTGACTTGGGTGTCACAGGTCCCTCTGGCGTCCGTGTGGGGTCAGAGTGCAGGGGGAGGAGAGGCAGGGGGCACAGGGGGGTGAGGATGGGGCTGACAGGGTGGTGGCAGGGAGGGGGAGACGGGGTCCACTCCCGACACCTCTAAAGGAGCCCACGGGATTCAATGACCGAGTGCAAGTGGGAGTGAGAGGCAGCGAGGACTCAAGATGATCCTGAGCTTTGAGCTGAGTGTCAGCTGAGCAGCTTCAAGGAGCCGTCTACACCCCCCACCACACACACACACACACACACACACACACGCACAGCCCTACACACTCACCAAGTCCTACTTGAACCCAGCGTTTTCCACCAAATGTGCTCCTTCTCCTCCCCTTGGGTCCTCAATCCACCAATATCTCTCCCTCTATCCCTCCCTCCACGCCTGGCCCCTCCTGCCCCCTGAATCTCACTGATGCCCCCTCCTCTCTGTCCCACTGTCCCAGCCCCAGGTCAGGCCTTGTTCCCGCCTGGACCCTCGCCCCAGCCTTCTTCACATGCTCCCGGGCCTCAGTTTCCCCCTCTATCCCATCCCCCACCAGACCCCAGTGGGTCATTTGATATACAGTACCCACCTTGCCCTCTCTTGCTCGCCCCCCTTCCACGGCTCCCTGGGGCCCTGGGGGGAGAGTCCAGTCAGAGAAAACTTCCTGGAGAGGTGACATCTAAGATGAGCCCTGAGGGTGGGAGGGTCCTGTAGATGGGTCCTGCTCCTCCTCCCCACTGACCTGTCTGCGGGGACTGTCCTTCTGGACTCTGAAATCCCAACGCGTTTGGCCAGGACTCGAGCCACTGTCCCCTCTGTTGGAGTTCCCTACCTTCTGGGAGTGGACTCTGGAGACAATTGTCTCTTTCCCCGTAGCTGGGGAGTCACTGTGTGTGACCTGCAAGCCCAGGTCTGAGAGCTGGGGTTCCCCAGACAGTAGTTGGGGCCTACCTTCCTCACTTTCTGTCTCTCCCCCTTTTACTCTTAGGGTGACTCGGGGGGTCCCTGATACGTAAGGGCATGTTTCAGGGTATCACATGATGGGGCAATGAGCCCTGTGCCAAACGTAGAACACCCATCTTGTACACCAAGCTGATGCCTCATCTGAATTGGATCAAGGACACTATGGCAGCAATGCCTGAATACAGTACAGTCCCTGTACTGCTTCCACCCTTTGTAAAGTCAAATACACATCAAATTCTGGTGTCACCCTGCCTTTCTAGACACAAGGCACCTGGAAGTTTGGGATCCACCTGGTGGAAGCTAGAGCCTCCCCAGCCCTTTCAACCTGTGTCCTGAGGTGTAGAGTCAAGGGCTAGGAGGGAAAGGAAGGGGCAAGACATGTGTAGACCAGTGGCTCTTAAGTGGGGGCAATTTTGTCCCTCCCCCAACCCTCCCAGAGAACATTGACAATGTCTGGAAACATCTCTCACGGGTTCTGCAAGGACACACACAAGGAGATGGATGGCCATGTTCTCTGCGGTGGTGGAGAGATGGAGGAGGGATGGGTGTCCACCTTGGGAGAGTGCACAGTGACACGTGGTAGATGCTCTCCATGGAACTTTATGTTCATTGTACCCTTCACACCATTACCATCCATCCCCACACATATTCCCCCAAATTTCTGTCTGCATAAATTGGAAAAATCATGTCATTCTTTTAGGATGTATCACCCATACTCATTGGTCACACTTTATACCTCACCTTTCAGGGCCTAATGGGACTTGAGTCTAGTTATAGGTCTACAAGCAAAGAGGGGTGGAGGGAGTAGAACTTGAGGAGACTCATCAGTGCCTTGCAAGGCATCTACCCCACGAGAGGCCATTATAGGTTCCTCAGGCAAAACAGGACTACCGTCTTCACAGAGGGGTGGAAGGGCTGCATCTACTGGCAAAGAAAACTCAGAGAATTTTGTTCTTCAGTGACCACACCTTCGTTAGACCCTCCCCATACGTCCTCATTCCAATTTTCAGGATCCCATTCCATCCCAATCATTCCCACACCTGAAAAGCAGACACCATGTGAGGTTGGGAATTCAGTTTGCGTGACAGCCCTCGAGCTAAGCTACTGCACTGAATCCAGAATCTCTACTTGGTGGGCCCATGTCAATGAATTTGGTCTGATCCAACTTTACGTTTCTTCTACCATTATGCCACATGCTGAATATCCATTTCCACGAATATTACCCAGATTTCTGTCTATATAAATTGGAAAACTCACACAGTTCTTTTGGAGTGGCACACACTTCCTCACAGGTCACATTTTGTGTGTCACCTGTCAGAGCCTGTTGGTCTTGAGTCTAGTTATAAGTCTTGAAGCAGAGAGGGGTGGTGATGACACTGGGGAGAATGGGCAGTGTCTTGCAAGGCAACTACCTCGGAGAAGGTCACCACATATCCTTCAGGCAAATCAGGGCTACTCTCCTCAGACGGGGTGGAAGGTCTGTTTCTACTGGCAGAGAAAACTCAGCAGAACTTAGGAGTTCAGTGTCCCCAGCTCCATCAGAATCTGCCCATGTTCCATTTTCCAGATCCCACTCCTTTCCAAGAAGTCCCCTCACTTTGATAGTAGACACCGTGTGATGTTGGAAATTCAATTTGAGTTGTAATTCAGCCACGCATAGGATGAGACTCTGGGTATAGTTTTCAGAAATCTCAGCTCTGTGGCTATAGGTGGTTAGGGATTCTTTGAGAGAAGGTATAGGAACTTTCATTCATTTGTGTAGTGTTTGAGCTGGCAATCTGGAGCCCTGAGCTCATCCTTTTTGTTTCCCACTTTTTCCAGCACAAGAAGGAACAAACAGCCAATTTCATTATACTCATTACCTTGACAAAAATGTCCTAAGATATCAAATACATGGTCACCCAAAAGTTTGCTTCTTATAAGTATTTGATTAGGAGAATTCATGGGGATATTTTCCATATATCTATTTCCACACTTTGCTATGAGTTATCAGTGCCCACTTTACCACTGGAAATAGATTAGTGCGTTTAAATTTAGTCAGATTAGAGAACCAACTGCAGAATTCCCAGGTCCTCTTCTGAAATCTTGTCCTTAAAATTCTGTTCCACTAGAACCACTCTTCGTCCCAAAATCTGTATTAGTCAAAGTTCTCCAGAGTAATAGAATCTATAACTATATCTATATCCAGATCTACATATCTATATCTATAACCATATCCACATCTACATTTCTATCTATCTATCTATCTATCTATCTATCTATCTATCTATCTATCTATCTACCTACCTACCTACCTACCTACCTACCTACCTACAGACCTTTCAATCAATCACCTGGAGAGATTTTACAGAATAGGATCATGTGATTGAGGGGGCTGGAAAGTCCAAAATTTGTAGGGCAGTCTGCCTGGGAAGATGGGAACTCAGGTGAGTCTGAGGACTTTTATGTTGGATCAGAATCATGGGCCACAACCTTGGAAAATAGGACTCAGGCTGGGAAGGGGTGGAGTGAGAAAGAGAGGAATATGAAGAGAGTGTCGGGGATATGTAGAAACAGAATTGTCTCTATCATTGTCCAGCTCCACAGCCAGATGTAAAGAATGGAAGAGGAGAGATGCACACTCAGAAACTGAGAAAGTCAGAGAGAAGCAGAGTCAGACACTGAGTCATAGATACTGAGTTGGAGACAGAGACACACAGAGAGCAGAGTCCTGGAGACTGAGAGATGGAGGGAAACCTCTGGGTGGTGATGGAGACACAAGGCTACAGAGGAAGAACAAGAGAGATAGTGGGTCCATTAGAGGCACCAGTAGGCCACTCTAGGGCCACCTCTGGACTCCTGGGTCCTACACTGGCCTGTGGTCCTAAGCTGGCCTGAGAGTTGGGGAGAGCACACCTGTGGGTTTATGAGCATCTTGAGGGCCGGCCCGGTGGCGCAAGTGGTTGGGTTTATGAGCATCCTGAGTCTGGAATGTCCTGTCCCTGGGACAATGGACATTTTCTCAAGTCAGCGATTTTTCAGCCAAAGTCCCTTGGGCTACTCTGATCCCAGGCCCAGGTCAGGGAGCCAGGATAGGGGCCAGGAGCATGGATTCAGGGACAGACTCCTGACCCAGTCCCTGAGACCACTCTCTTCCTCTGTTAGCTCTCTCTGTATCTCTCTTGATCTCTTGTCTCCTTATTCCATATTTCTGTTGCAAGCTCCAGCTCCATTTTTCTTCTCTGTCTTTCTGTCTTGGCTACTTTGGAACTGTGTCTTCAAATTTTTGCTTTTCACTCTCTTTCTTCACAGGCTGTCATTCTGTATCTGCTGGTATTGCTTTTTTATTTTGGGCTTGAAGGGTGGAAGAGTACGCTAATTATTGTCCTCTGTTTTCCCCACATTTCCTTTAGTGTTGCGTGCAAAACTCTCCTCATTCTACATTCCTTTGTTCTTTCATTCATTCCGTTATTAAATTATTCTGTTTATTCTCCAAAAACCTCTCCCTCTACCCTCAATGGGAAAATCCTTTAATATGTTTAATGCAGAAACATTTCAATTGATGCGTTCTTGCAAAATCCATACTTTTGTTTCCTGTGTGTATCTTTGTAGTTTACATAGATTGTGTTGAGTTATAAGCCATTTTCCAGTCAACACGGTTTGTTGAAGATCTGCCTATGTAGTTTATGACCAGACAATCTGTTATTTCTGATGGCTGCCTCCCCTGCTCTTACCTACACAATCCCCCAAGGACAGATGTCCTTGCCTCCTGCAGCCCCCATTTCCCACCACAACAACGTGACAGTGACTTCTTGTATGGCCCCCATTTTCAAACGGTGTGAGAATCTTTCTGTGATATTTTCCTCTGAGCAGAGCCTGTTGGGTCTTAGGGTATACAGATACTCAACTAGTGAAGTTGATCCAGGTTGATCTTCGCCATGACTACCGCTCTGCAGACTCACTCCCAGCATCTGGAAGGTTCTGGCAAGCCCACACCCATCAGGACCTGGCATTATCTAGGTTTCTAATGTTGGCATGCTGAGAGCCATGCTCACTGTTATTTCAATTTCTTTTACCCGATTACCAGTGATTCTGAGCATTTTCTCATACTTTTGTGGGCTCTTTAGATTTTCCCTTCTGTGAATCGCCTGTTCATATCACATTGCTCACTTTCTGTTGGACGTGTCAACATGTTCTTATTCAGTTTCAGGAGTCTCTTCTGTATTTTAGATACTGATCCTTTGTCGGTGGGTCATAATTGCTGTTTTTCATTTCCTTAGTCATGGTGTCCTTGTTGGAACAGAAATACTTAATTTCAATATAATAAAATCCAATATTTTTGGGCTCTAAGATTTGTGTTTTGGGAGCTCTGTCTCAGAAGATCCTTTCTTACTTCTAATTTATGAGTACATTCCCCTATATTTTCTTGCTGTTAGCTTGTGTTTGTTTCTATATCTTTAACTCTTTTTATCTCTTCTCTGAGTATTTTTTTTAAATGATTCTCTCTCTGGCTATGTCTCTAATCCCTCTCTTTTTTTGCCTGTTTCTCCGCCTCTCCTTCCCACCCCACCCTCCTCTTCCTCTCTTGGAGAACTTCTGACCCTCCATTGGGTTGCGACAAAGAACGTGACAACCGGAGTCAGGCTGCTTGGGTTCAATCGTTACCTCAGATGAGCGACTTTAATCTCTTTGAGCCTCAGTTTCCACCTCTAGAAAATAAGGTGAGTGGTTGTCCAGGCCCCACAGGGTTGTGAGGATTCAGTGGGATCTGTGACATTCTTGGCACAGGGTATGTACTTAACAGACAGGAGCTGTGATGTTAATCAGGAGGTGAGCATGTCTTCTGTTTCCCTTTGTGTCCCCCTCTCTCTACAGAGACCTCAGAGCCAGGCTGGGACAAAGCTGGGGATGTGGGAGGCAGAGGACCACACAGACCAGACAGCTCCAGAGTCCTGTGATGGGATGAGATCCTGCCCACCACATCCTTCAGGGGCTACAGGAACCTTATGGACACCCTCGTCCCGGACTGCGCCACCCTCAGGTGGGCTGACACATTGGGAGGGATGGTCAGGGCAGCAAAATCCCACCAGATTCCCTCCAGCAGCACATACCATGGCCCAAAGTCAGGATGCCCAGAGCAGATGTACGGGCCATGAACCCGGGGAGGAGAGCGCTGACCTAGGTGCACAGGTCCCAGACCCACCCCTGACAGCATTCTGCCCCTTGAGGTCCCTGGAATTCTTGTTCTCTCTCTCCCTCTCCCTCTCCCAAATCACTTCGTTCTCTTTTTTCTCACTCTTTCAGCCAACAAGTGTAATGAGATTGACCAGTTGCTCCTAATTGCACTGGTTAAAGTGGAGAACCAAAGAATTCAGGGCTTCAACTCCTCAGCTCAGGAACGGCATACATGATCTAAAGATTCTATATCTGCCCTGAGAGAAACTTGCATCTCTTAGAGCCACAGGGCTGAGATTTCTGAAAACCAAGCCTGGAGTCTTATCCTGTGAATGGCTGAATTACAATGCAAAATGAATATCCGATCTCCCAGGATATCTGCTATTAAAATGAGGGCCTGATTGGGAAGAAACAGCATCCTGAAAATTGGAAGAGAGACTAACGGGAAGACCCTGATGAAGGGGAGGAGACTGGAGGGAGAGACGAGGCGGAGGACGTAGACTGAGTTAGGGCTGAGGAGATGGAGAAGATCTAGAAGGCAGACGTGATGTGGCCAGTGTCTGACAGGCTGTGAGGCACCTGGGGTCTGTCCTGGTGCCTGAGGGAACAGTGTGCTCTCCCCAGAGGGAGAACCCAAGATGAAAAGCATGTTGGGGAGACAGGGGGATAAGAGGGGTGAAAGGAAGTTTCTCAAGGAGCAGGTGGGATGGGTTTGTGTCTAGAGGGATCCAGTGGTGGGGAGGGGCTTCTCCACAGCTTACACCTCTCCCCTCAAAGCTCAGCTCAGTCCTGGTCTGTCTTCCACCATCTGGCTGCACCCAGCTGGTCCCCCACCTCCCTCCACTTCCATCTGGCCAGGTGCTGCCTCAGTGCCCAGCTGTTGGTCAAGAACTCTGAAGGGTCTGAGATTTTATTGACTTGCAAACAAATAAGTTAGCCTGCCAGTTTCACGGGTACTGGGAGAACACACGAGACTCCTGGGTCAGAGACAAAGGACTTTATCACTCACAGCACAGCAGGAGGCATGAGCTTCACGTTCACATCAGTTCACCTTGCCCCCCAAGTCCCACGGGGGTGATCGGAGCAGCCAAGTTGGATTCTGTGCACAAGGTCATTTGTGCCCCAGCTGAGGATTTGAGCTTAGGAATCAATCTTACGAGGGGGCTGCTAGCGAGCTCTCCCAACCTTTGTCCCCAGTGGAGATATCGTCTTTATTATCCTGGGCCACAAAGGAAACTGCTCTGGAGGGACGTATTATATTTATTGTCCTGGACAATAAATATAGTCTCAACAGATCTTTTCTGGAGAGATATTATCTTTATTATCTTGGACAGTAAACAAGCCTTCTCTGAGGGAGATACCATCTTGCGAGACTGTTTGACAGACAAATAACCTTGATAGATAGTCCAGAGTAAACATGTATTCATTGCTTTGCTCTGAAGACACATGACAGACCCATGGAGAATTTTCTCCCAAGGTCATTCAGTTCCCCCCTCCACCTCCCCCTGCAGGACAGTGCACTCTTTCCTCCTCATCCCCCTCATCCACCACGTCTGTGTGCCTTCTGCTCACCGGAGTTCTAGGTCCAGCTCCAAACAATAGGGGGCAGGATGTGGTCATTTGATCTGTATGTGCAATTCCTACCCTTGTGTTGCTGTCTGTGTCTGTATGTGGCTTTGACCTTGAGGGGATATATCCATGTTTCCCAGTATAAAGGCTCATAGTCCTTTGACCTTGAAAAATCTCTTTGGTGTGGGGCCGGCCCGGTGGCTCAAGCAGTTAAGTGCGCGAGCTCCGCCGTGGCGGCCTGGGGTTCGCCGGTTCGGATCCCGGGTGCGCACTGACGCACTGCTTGTCGAGCCATGCTGTGGCGGCGTCCCATATAAAGTGGAGGAGGATGGGCACGGATGTTAGCTCAGGGCCAAGCTGAGAGGATTGGCATCAGATATTAGCTCAGGGCTGATCTTCCTCGTGAAAAAAAAAAATTAAAAAAAATCTCTTTGATGCTTGTGCAGAGTCCTGTTCTGTGTGTGTGTGTGCGTGTGTGTATGGTAGGTGTGCAAGGCCCTACTTGTCTGCTACCTGCCTGCACGTGTGAACCATGTCCCCATATGTGAAACAGAGTGAGTGACCTTGAACACCAAATATCTGACTCGAGGGCTGATCCAGAGACGGATAAATACGTCCCGTCCTGGCTGTGTGTGTCTCTAGCTGTGTGTCTTTCACCATTGATGCCCAGCCCTGTGTCAAGGTGTCGCCCTGGGGTCTGACCTAGTGGGTCCACATCTGAATGCTCGGCCTCTGAGTTTGTGCCTACAGCTTTGAATCACCAGTAAGTGGCTTGTGGATGTGTCAAGTTTTGACCTCGACTATCTTCTCTGGGTCTGCATGTATGTCTGAATTTGGCCATATCTCTGTCCACAAACTGAATGTCTACATACACGTCTCATAAAATATCATGTATCCTTGATTAAAATAACTAATATTAGTTAAGCATTTACTATGTTCCAGGCATCACAACACACACACACACACACACACACACACACACCCCTAACCCTTACAACAATCCCCGTTTAACAGATGAGTAAACAGAAGAACACTGAAATCAAATTCTGGATATAATCACCATATTATAGACCCATGTTTGTGAACATGTCTTTAGGGGCCTGATGTCCCTCCCTTGCGTATGTTATTAAGGACCCCACTTTGTATACCCAGACCTTGCGTACAAGTGTGTGCATCTGCGACACTGGATGTCCAGACCTCCATTGGAGGCTGTGAATTTATGTCTGAGCTTTTATATCCAAAGCTTCATGCGTGTGTGTGTGTGTGTGTGTGTGTGTGCATGCGCCCATGTCTTAACTGTCCATATTTATAAACACATATGAACATCTGTGCTGTGATTGTTGAAGCTGCAATCCATGCACACGTCTAGTGAATTTCAGCTTACAGCGCTGTCGGTATCAGTACCTGAGTTTGATAGTCTGGTTGTGCATGTATGCAGGTCCATGAAGAATATGGCCACATCCATGTCCTCGTGTGACACTGAGTTTGGCTGAGATGTGCAGACTCTGGGAACAAGTCTGTGTGTCATACATACTGAGTGGCCACATCTGTTTAATATCTGTGACAGATGGGTGACCCTGAATGACTGGCACCAAGTGACCACATGTCTGAACCAGTATCCAGTGTCCTTGCCTCCATCCCAAATCACAGAAAACTTCTTGCCCTCTTCTCCTTTCCCTTCCTCCCTCTTTCAGGGACCTGTAGCAAATGAGATGGGGAGACAAAAGGAGTATGGTTCTAGAGAAAAGAGAAGTTTTAAAAGAGAGAGGACGTTTAAAAACACATCAGGGGGGCCGGCCCCATGGCTTAGTGGTTGAGTGCGCACGCTCCGCTGCTGGCAGCCTGGGTTCGGATCCCGGGCGCGCACCGACGCACCGCTTCTCCGGCCATGCTGAGGCCGCATCCCACATACAGCAACTAGAAGGATGTGCAACTATGACATACAACTATCTACTGGGGCTTTGGGGAAAAAAAGGAAGAGGATTGGCAGTGGATGTTAGCTCAGAGCGGGTCTTCCTCAGCAAAAAGAGGAGGATTAGCATGGATGTTAGCTCAGGGCTGATCTTCCTCACAAAAACAAACAACCAACCATAAAAAACAACACATCAGGGACACCTAGAGAAACGTAAGGGAAGGCATAGGTGAAGAATATGTAGGCAGAGCAGGGCACAGCCCGGAGATAAAGGGTGAGGAAAAGGACCCTGGGCTCAGGGTTCCTGTACCCTTCTCCCAGTGGCACAGGGCAGACAGGGTCTGGGGAGGTGAGGGGTGTGTGCCCCACTCTCAGCCTCGGCCTGCCCTAGCCCTCTATGAACGTCGCAGTTGTAACCGTGGTCCCTCACTCACCTGCCCCCACTGGATGCTGTCTGAAGCCCCTTGCCAAATATGGTATGAAGGCAGCGCTCACAGTCATGAAGGAATGTGGTTGGGAGTGGGAAGGCCTGGGTTCTGCAGGTGGGGGAGGTAGAGGGTGGGAGTCTGGACTCCTGTGTTTGAAAGGGTCCCGGGAGAGGGTCCCTGACTCCTGTATCCTGAGGAAGAAAGTGCTAGAGCCTGGGGCTAGAAGCCTGTGTGTGTGTGTGCGTGCGTGTATCTGTGTGTGTGGGTCTGTGCCTGTGTGTGCGCGTGCGCAGAACTCATGTATCAGAGGCAGAAGCAGAGACTCTTGGTTCCAGGGTGTTAGGAGGTAGTAACTGGAACTCTTGGGGACTCGAGATCGCCCACTCCGGTCTTTCCATCTACTATGCCCATTTAGTGCACGCTCGGCGCCCGCTGGATACACCCAGACGGGCACAAACTGCGCAAGCGCGATGACTCCAAACACCTGAGGGCCATTTGGCGCATCTTCTGACGTCTGCGCTGTCAGTCTCACCGTGCACCGCCATGACGTCATGTCGTCGCGACTAGCCCCGCCCACAGCCTCACGACACGTGCGCGCCATGGCGCTGCCCACGTCCGCCCCTAGTGGGCGCGGCCTGCGTGCTGACGTAGGCCTACGTCAGAGGAGGAGCCCGGAGACCCTGGGCGCGCGGGCAGCGCGGTCCTTGAGAACCATTAGTCGACCGCCGGGGCTTCTGGACGGAGGAGGCAGTGGCCTGAACGTGTGGGTGAGCTGTGCGTCCTCCGCCCTCCACGGTGAGTCTCCTCCGTGTGTTGCATTTTGTCAAGGCCAGCGTTATCTCGGCCACAACTTCTAACAAGTTCTGTTCTGGGCGCCTGATGGACACCGTGGTGTGTGCAGGCGTGGAGGGCGGGGCAGCGACTGCTGTGAGGTCAGAGCCGAGAGGGGGTCACCAGGGATGAGAAGAGGGCTGGGGGCGGGTTCAGGAGTGGGCTGGCGTTGGGTTCAGAGAAAATGCTGGAGACAGGGTTCGGGAATGGAGCAGGTACAATGGGGGTGGAGCGTGGTTGTGGTTAGAATTGGGAACCGGGTTGAGTAGGGTTGGATTGGCCTTGGACTGGATGATGCGGGCTGGTGTGGGAGGGCATGGTTGGGAGTTTGGAATGGTTTTGATTTGATTTTTGATGGGAAACATGTGGGAGTGGAATTGGGGGGGTAGTAGATGTAGTTGGGGATACAGAAGATTTGGAGGTTGGAATCGGGTTGTGCTGGATTTGAGAATGGGTGTGGGGTTGTTTTGGTTTTGAATAGGGAAGATGTGGGGCTGTATTAGGTTAAGTTGGGTGGGTTCACTTGCCTTGGGTCAGAGGTGTGTGGGGTTAGGGTTGGTTGGGTTGAGTTTAGGGGGTTGAATTGTTCCGGGTTTTGGCTGACGACGTGGAAGGGGATTAGAATGGGGGTTAGGGTGGGGAGGGGGCACTGGATCCAGGGATTCCTCCCTCAGGCTGAGGCACACTTCTCTGCACAGGGTGACACTGGAGAACATGATCTGTGGGGGTGGGTGGGGAGTTCAGATCATTGACTGAACGGATTCCTTTACCCCATTCCTTATGGTTTTAACTTGTGAGTCTCTGACCACTCTGTCTCACTCACTCTCTGGGAGCGTCTCGTGTTCCTCAGCTAGGAGAGGGGGAAGATTTGATCAATTGCTTGACAGGGCAGGTGCTGGACCCGCATGTGCTGCTCTGGTTTTACTGAAAAAGCGGAGACAACCAAACTTCTTGGAAACCTTGGATCTTATCCATTCAGGCTATTCTCCCTTCCATAGCCTTGGGGTGGGGGTGAGGGTGAGGGATGTCTGCATCCCAGAATCGTGAGCAGGGCCTTGGCCAACACCCGGGTGCCAGCAGGGCCGGGGCGGGGCCCTGGGGGTGTGAGAACTTCTGAAGGCTCCCCAGGGAGGCTCCCCAGCTCTGAGCTCACTGCCTGCCTGCCCCTGGACACTCTGTCACCATGTGGTTCCTGGCCCTGTGCCTGGCTGTGTCCCTGGGGTGGAGTGGTGAGTATCAGGGGATGTGGGAGGGGAGCAGGCCCTGACTCTCATGCTGCTCTCACCTCCCCATAAGTTCTTCCCCACTCAACTGACACCCCAGCTTCATCATTCCAGCCCACCATCCACCCCAGACCAGTGTACCAGGCTCTTTCTTATCACTCCCACCCCCACCGGAAAGCCTTCTCCAGCTCTCCACACCGTCACATTCCTCACAGCCCTCACTCCCACACCCGGTCCCTGCTTCCTCCCAGTTACTTCCAGAACTTTCTCCTTTACCTGACAGGCAGAGCCTGGGCCATCTGTCTTTCTCTTTGGGGTTCTACAACCCTTCCAAGGAGCACTGCCTCCTCACTGGACCCTGGGACCCTGATCAACCCCTCCTACCTCCTAGTTCTCTAGGACCCGATGCACTGGCTCCTGAGCCCCCAAGTCCTACCGTACCTTGCTGATGTTTCCCATCCAGCAGGCAGCTGTCAATCCTGTCCCTTAAATATTGAGTCCTTCTCATAACCCTAAAACCCCAGGCATAGAAGATTTCCCAGTCTGAGACTCCTTAACACACCCCAAATCCTTCCTCTCCAGCCAGTGGCTCTCTCCCTTGGGGTCCTTAACACTGGTTTCTAGAAACCCTTCCACCTCTCTGAACCTATGCTTTCACCACAGTCTCCTGTCCCCCAGCCCAAGGCCCCAAATCACCCGACCCCCACACTCGGTGCTGCTGTCTTGTTGTCTCCTATCCTGATCCCTGGGTCAGCTCTGCTCTCAGCATAAAGTCTGCCCACCCAGGACCAGCCACCAACCCACAATCCCAGGGATGGCTCCAGAATTCTGGGTCCTCTCAATACTCCTTGCCCATGGTCTTGTCCCCAAATCCCCAGCCTGGTCCTCTGCCCTCATGTCCCTCCAGCCCCACAGCACCAGCTCCCTCTCCTAGCCCAGTCCCCAGTCTCCATAGCCAGCTCCCACTCCCTCTGACCCAGCACCCCCTCTGCAGGTGCTCTGCCCATCTTCCAGTCTTGGAACAGAGGAGAATGGGAGTGTGAGAAGCGTTTGAAACCCTGGCGGGTAGCTGTGTGCAATCACACCAACTTTCACTGTGGGGGTGTCCTGATGCACCCCCAGTGGGTGCTCACAGCTGCCCACTGCAAGAGTGAGTGAGTAGGGCTAGGGGCTCTGGGTAGGGGTGTCTTTGCTCCCACAGGAAAGGTCAGCCAGCGCCGTTCCCCTCAGGGGAGGCTGGGGGCTGAGGGAGAGAAGGATGGGACTGGTCCATGTCCCATGGAGAGAGGCAGAGCTGGGACTGGATGACCCCAGAGAAGCCTCCCATGGCTGCCTGGTCTCTCTCTGTCTCTCCCTATGTAGGCTTTCTGTCTTCCTGTGTCTCCCTCTGTCCTGTCTCTCTGTGTCTCCCTGGGTGATTGTCTCTCTGTCTTCCTGTGTCTCCCTCTGTCCTGTCTCTCTTTCTCCCCATGTAACTGGCTCTGTTATGTGTCTCTCTGAGTGACTATGATTTGTCTCTGTCTACCTCTCTTCTGTCTCCGTGTCTCTGTGTCTCTTCCTGTCTCTGTCCATCTCTGGGTCTCTCAGCTGTCACCCCTGTCTCTGTAGGTCTCACCCTCCATCTCTCTGCCCCATCTCTGTCTCTAGTCTCTGCTTCACTCCCTCTCCCCCATCACTGCAGAGCACAGTCACCCCCAGGATGGGACTGTGGGGCACCCCCAGAGAAAAGGAAAGGGTCATCCCCAACGTGTGTGTGTGTGGGGGGGGCTTCTCACACTGCCCAGCCCCTCCCTCCGGGACAGTCGTCCATCCAGGGGGACACAGGGGAGGGCTGGTTTCAGCTGTCGCTGGTGGGGGCAGTGGAGGAAGGAGGAGGAGGAGGAGAAGGGAGAGAGGTGCTGGGTGGGAGGGGCCCGCCGGCCTTGGGGAACCGGCCCCACAGCCCCAGCTGCAGCTGAGCTGGTCTCAGGCCCCCTCCTCCCTCCTGCCCCACCCCCCGCCCTGCCTCCCTCTCCCCCTCACACTCTGTCTCCCCCTCGCCTCCTCTCCTCTGTTTCTCCTTCCCTCTTTTTACTTCCTCTGTCTCTGCTCATTTTGTCTCTTTCTGCTTCTCCCGCCTCTTCTGTCTTTTCTCTCCTGCTTCTTCCCTGTGAGGAGTTCTTGCCGTCTGTTCTCCTCCTCCTCCTGTCTCCTTCGTGCTCTCTCTAGCTCACTGTTCTCCCTGCCTTCCTCACTCCCTGTGTTTTTTAAGGTTTCTCTTTTTCACTGCATTTCTCTTTGTCTGTGGATCTGCCTTTCACGCTGTCACATTCTTTTTTTCCTCACTGTCTCTATTTCTCCATGACTCTAAATCTTTCCTTCTCTCTCTCTCTCTCTTTGTTTTTTTTTCATTATTTCTCTTTCTTGTTTTTGACCCTCCCCCAGGCTCCTCTGCCCCATCTCCCTTCCCCCCTCCTCTCTCCTCCTCATTCCCTCTGTTGGGAGGGAGACTCTCCCTCTACCCTTTCCCTTAAGGTTCTTATGGCTGGCCAAATAATTAACAAGACAGGTTAGCAAGAGAAAATAATACCAAGTTTAATAACAT